TTTTTTTTTTAAGCGGCACGGAATTCTCTAAACGATATCAGTGCCTCCGTAGACGATTTTCCCCCACTGGTTGCCGTTGTCTATAGGATTTCCCTGCCCGAATGCTTTCTGCTTTATCGGTTGGCTGGTGGTGTGGGCGTAGCAGGGACAAGGACAGGCTAACTCGGGCTTCTGCAGAGGGGCTTTTAAAGTCAGCAGCCCGCTTATGTAAATCCTGATGTACGTAAAGCGCTGGACTCCGGTCTAGGGAATTTCGTGAATGATTAAAACAACTTCCTAATATTCCTCCGACTTTTTTTAAAATTATATTTAAAAAAATATAGCCTGCCTTTGAACACATGTAAAAATATGTCTGGAGATTCTAGAGTCTCCTAGAGCCAAAGTAAATTGCTTCCTGATGTCCTCCCTCACCCCCCCCCCATTAGATCTTTTGTTACTTCCCTCTAAAGTATAGCCAAGACTTTCTCATTTTTCCTGTAATAACTATTGTTCTTATGAAACAATCTTATTTGCTTCATCCTCTAAACATAATACTCTATATAATACAATCTCTTTAAGAAAAGTACGCCTCCCCCAAGTGGGCTTTGCATAGCTCCCGCCCAAACATGGATTTACATGAAAGAAGAAAGGGGAACCCCTAGCCAGAGCCTTAGCCAGGAAGAAAACTTGTTCTTTGAAATGGAACACTTCCGAACGTTTCCAACGGGTCATGGGGATTTACAGTTTTTTCTAATTTTGTCAGGCCGCCTCAGAATGCCTGAACAGTTTGCAATGCAGTACGCAAAACGCGTGAAGCTGTGTGCTAATTCTTGATTTCCCTGTTTATAACTGAACGTTTTCAGTCTGCCCTTCATTATAATGCTGCGATAACCGCGAAGGCAAAAGAAAAGAAAAACAGTAATTGAAATTTCACTTTGGAATGTGCTTGCATTCTTAAGCTAGGGTGTGCCCAGCATTCCAGAAACCCTCGCCGCTGAAAAGACGCTAGTGAGAGCAGCCTATTTACCCGGTTAAACAGGCTTTGCACCCAAACCTAAAGACTGACTATATGGTGTCACTGCACAAATTGTATGCTAGCCTCACAAAGGTTATACTCGATTCCTCTAAAGGGATGTATGTTGGTTTGACTAGCAAATAAACAGGCAATGCAATCTTACAACATTTCCAAGCCATGTAGCCTCAAGCAAGTTATTTAACCTCTCTGTGCCTGTTTTGTGTTTTTACAGAATGGCATGCTTGGACCGA